TGTAGTGTGTCCTGTTGTCTGGTGAAATCCATGTCACTCGCTTTGTGGATATCCTTGTGCTTGAACACACTGCCTGGGCTGCAATCACCAAATCACTGAATGCTCAGAATTCCGCAAACAATTCTCGTTCATTTCACCGAGTGGCTTCTCAACCCATGATGAGTGCTCTTCCTGTGTTAGCCTCTCCGAGTTTGGTATTCATGTCACCCCACCCATTAGAATTTTGATGTCGCCAATTGAGGTCTTGTCCAGTGTGATTGCAGTTGTCTGTGGAATTCCTCCTTCTTCTCTTCATCTGCATTATTTGTAAGCGCATAGCATAGCATTGCATGATTATGCCTTTCCTTTCTTTTGAGTTGAATCTTGCTGCCATTATCCTGATCCTGCAGGAGGAGATTGGTTCCCACTGCATGAGAATGAGACTTTGATACTGTTGGCGACATCATGATATCCACTCGAAAACTCAGTGTGCTGGTGGTTGTCGTCTGGGTGACAATATAGGAGTAGATTATTGGCTCTTCAGTTGACAGTTTGGAGAGTCCACTTCCATTCCATTCCATTCCATCTGCTTTCGCAAATTCCTAACACTTCAGCGAGGTTCGTATGAAATATGGTAGTTATTATTCTAATTTTCCCAACAGACACCATTCATTTAACTCTATCATATAGACAGTCATTTAATTCAGTTTAATGGCATTTGAAATGTGATTGATTTCAAAGTTTTTATCAAGGATTAGCAGTTTCCGTGACACACTTGATTTTGGTGATTCAATAAAGAATGTTAATTTTACAGGTAGAAGAACGATTTCATTGGATGTCGTGCCCCTCTCTACAAATATCCCACGGACAGAAACCATCTGCTTCCTATGTAAATTCATTCAGTGTCATGAAAATGATGTTGGTATTCCAATTAGCTACCTAAAAGAGCTTCTTCTTCTATGTATCTTCAATGTGTACTTCAGACTTAATAATGAAATCTGCAGGCAAATGAACGGTGTGTCTAGGACCAATAAGACCTCTCCTATCCGACTGCTCCATGGCAGGTTTGAAAAACATCAACTTATCATCAGCAACCAATAAACTTTATGTCTACAAAACATACTTGGGTGATACATTTATATTTTGTGATGAAAATATGAATCTTGTAAACTTGCTTCATACTTTCAACAACGCCCAACATTCCAACCAAATTCACTCTAGAATCAGTATCCAACTCAACCTTCCCTTTTCTTGATGTTTAACTCCAAAGGAAAGACGATAGTTCACTTTATAGATAGATCTACAGAAAGCCTTTGTGGAACGGAAAATTTGTTAATTTTCAAGGTTCAGTCCGTGTACACAGGAAAAGAAATCTTATTCACTCACGTTCCTCAAGGGTTAGGAAAATATGTACTGAAGACACTGTTGACGGAGAACTACAGATACTTCGACGAACTATAACCGGAAACGGTGTCATGCTCAGATTCATAGATAAGAACATAAAATCAATGAACCAAAGTGAACGAACAAACTTGGAGCGGATATATATATACAGTTACCTAACACAAGATGAATCTGTGACAGTCAAGGCTTCATGATGGCTATAGAAAAGATAAAAGTTAAATGTACCATTTTTGGACGCGTAACGCTGATTTGACAGTCGTGTTCTCGGGATGTCTGCAAGAATATCATTTTTGAATTCAAGGTTCAACAGAAAAGTTGACAGAAGAGGGATGGCAGCGAAGACGGGACTTCCTTCAAGCGAATATAGAGAAGACAGAGTTGATGAAGATACCCAACCAAAACCAGCGACAACAAGCACCAATCATCATCAATGGTGAAATCTAAAGAACGCATCGTCTCAACTACAGGCGACACGGGTGCAGACGAGGATGTCAAAGCGGGAATCGAAAAGACAGCGAGACAGGCCTTCATTAACCTGAAATCAGTGTGGAGATCTACTGCACTCAACTCAGCATTTACAACAAGACCTGGATTTCCAACACAAATTCAGTCAAGTAATTCAGTGCTTCTATGTGATGAGTGAGAGACTTGATGCGTTACGAAAGCCATTCCCAACAAACTACAAACATACATCACATCAACAGCTGCCACCTACACCCACTCGATGCTTAGGATGAGATGGCCAGAAAGACTAAGCAACAAGGAACTCTGGCTAGGTGGCTGGCAACGAACCAACCATGAACCTATCACTCAACAAATATGCACTGGAAGAAAGTGGAGATGGATTGAGCATGTGCTGAGAAAAGCATTGAGAGACATGACGAGTGAGGCCAGGTCGTCGAGTGGGATCCAAGTGGGAAATGACGAGTTGGGCGTCGGAGGCGAGAGTGACATGGAGGAGACCATATGAGGAAGAAATGAGAGCTTTTGGGGAGTCGTGGCGCTAGATTCAATTGTTTGCAGAGAACGGTGTGCAATTGTGACGTGTTACTGAAGCGGTATTTTTCATTAGGTCCCCAGGAGACCAGTGGTAATCATAATGATATTTCGTGTTCTGGATTTCTTTTGCTTCTTATTGCATGCAATCCTTTAGTGAACCAGCTCATTTTTTTCTGGTTTATGTCGTTTAACCAAATTCGTCTAAAATCAAAAGTTCACTTTCCTATTCAGCTTTACGGGAAGTACGTTCAATAGCGAAAATTATTTTTTTATCTTGAGGATATAGATATTTTAGTCTCTTACTTCAACGTTGACTGAGACTTTAAAATTTTCAGTGACATTTAAAAAACTTTTATTTTTGAAATATTGTAAGTGACTAGCTAAATAATTCCATACTAAATAGTCATTTCACATCAATATTTTTGAAGATAGTTTTTCTCGACCGGAACATACTACTGAGAGAATACGTTGAAGTTTAGAATGTTCTTTTGTTTTTCAACTACAGAGGATAATTTGTGTCAGTATTTTGTTATCCTTACGTAACCACTAATTGCTCGGCTAACCGCTTCAGCCTTGGGATAATTAAGATTTCCCCCTATATGTATTGCATCAGATTTCTCCTTTTCATCTTTTTTAATTTATTAAAATATGCATTCATATCTTTCAATGTATAAGTGTACATTTTAAATCTTTTCAGCCAGCTGTTTTGCAAGATGAAAATAGGTAAAATACTACATGATGGATAGCAGTAGGACTTTAAACGCATGACATTACCTCACACAACTATTTTGAAGATAGGTAGCTTCAAGTGGAAATGTTAGTACTACCTGAATGAGCCACCACCAGTATTCTTCTAAATTCTTTCCTTCTTTCAGACTAGATAATAACTTAACAACAACTGGTCCTTATATGTAATTGCCTCATAATGTTGTTTTTATTGATATCACCGAGATGCTATAATTATTTCGTTTAAAGAGATTATGCAAGGAGTAAATCTGTTGAAATAATATATGTTGAGATTAATAAAGTGATTATTTATTTATTATCAAGCGTTTGCAGTGGGACGGTACGTTGTGGTCGACTGGACTGGATCATACAACAAACAGTAAGGAGTGAGAAGATACACTGGATACGCTGGACCGGAGAAAAGATCCTAGAAGATTTGGATTTCGCCGATGACTTGTACCTAATGTCACACAAACACGAAGATCTACATGCGAAAATCAACAAGCTGACAGAAGAAGCATGGCACTGAAGATGGGACTTCAAGTGAATGTAGGGAAGACAGAGGTGATGAAGATACTCAACCAACACCACCACAACAACAAGCCCCAATCACCATCAACTGGAGAAACTTGAACAAAGTAGTCTCCCTCAGCTATCTAGGCAGCATCGTTTCAACTACGGGTGGTGGCACTGACGAGGATGTCAAAGCCAGGATTGGAAAAACAACAAGACAGGCGTCCATTAGCCTGAAACCAGTGTAGAGACCTACAGCACTCAGCATAAAGCGTTAACAACATCCTGATTTTCAACACCAACGTCAGTCAAGTCAGTACTCCAGTGTGATGGGTAAGAGACTTGGCGCATTACGAAAGCCATTTCAAACACTACACACATTCATCAACAACTGCCTACCCTTCACTCAATACTGAAAATCAGATGGTCAGAAAGAATAAGCAACAAGGAACTCTGGCTAGGTGGCTGGCAACGAACCAACCATGAACCTATCACTCAACAAATATGCACTGGAAGGAAGTGGAGATGGATTGGGCATACACTGAGAAGGCCGACTGGGTACATCACGCGTCAGGCCAGTGCCTTGAGTTGAACCCAGATGGGAAACGACGAGTTGGGCGTCGGTGCGGTTGGTGACATAGAGGAGATCATGTGAGGAAGAATTGATAACTTCTGATCTGTCGTGTAACCAGGCTCAACATTTTGCAGAGAAGAGAGTGTAATTGAGACGTGCTACTGAAGCCCTATGTTCCACTAGGAACCCAAGTGACAAATAATAATAATAAATACTAGGGAAAAATGAGAAGATTGAAATCGCTGAAATAGTATATATTGGCTTCAAATTAATTTAAAAAGAAAATGTTTTCTGAAAGAGATCTAGAATGATCATTTTAAGCTAGATAGCGAGAATTAATTTTTGTTTTCACTATTTCACTATTTCCATATCAAATGAAAGTGGAATTCAAATGAAACTGTTTATATTTGTAAATGTTAGGAAATCTCAAATAAATTGTCTGTATATCCGAAAATTCCTTATCCATTTAAATGCTGAAGCTGACAGATCGAACTCACCTTTCTAATAATCACTAAATTTTTCCACTATACTTGCTATATGTATGTACTTGTTTGTGTATATCTTTTTTATTCTCCACATTTGTAAGAAATATATTTAAAATTCTACATTAAACATTGAATAATTTGAGACTGGATGCAAAAGTGATTGGATAATGAATATGAAATTTCTGATTGGGACTTGTAAAACATATTTACTGATAAATAGTAAATAATACAGGAAAAAACAGAAAAGAATTCCTCGTGTTTCATTTGTTTTCTCTTTACAAATGAATACAGAATTTTTCTCTAACTATTTTTTTAAATTTATGCTTGCTTTGTTACATCTGTTTTTACTGAATGCAATATTACAATCAAATAAATCAGTATCCTGTGAAATAGTAGCACAATCTATCATATCTAATGACTCATGTAACACTTCAACTGGAAGCTGTTTTTGTGACGAGTTGTGTGTTATGAAGAAGGACTGTTGTCATGATCACAAAACATTCGTGCAGTATACACAGTCAGTGCACTCTTCAAAAATACCTCACTATAATTGCATTCATTCAGCTCGAACATTTGCGGATGATGCTGACCTAAAAAAGCAGGGTGACTGGTTCCAAGCTGTTACACACTGTCCTCCTGGCACACAAAAAGGAATTGCAAATCGTTGCATTAAGGCCAAAGATTTAACCATCAACTTTGATGATGTAACAGCTGAGCAGGATCTGAATGTTAGTAAAAATCAGTCTAAATTCATTTCGATTGATTTGGCCTACCTTAGATTTCGCATAAGAACAGAAGATATTCGACTAATGGCACCAGTAGTCTCTAATGTTAATGGCCGAGTGTATGCCAATATTTACTGTGCTCATTGTCACGGTGAGTTGGATTCAGCTGTCCAAGGTCAAGCAGTTTTGCAGGAGCGTCTTCGGTCATACAATGTATTTGTACGCTGTCGAACGTATCATGACACGGACAGATTGTGTGTTGCTGATACCCAACTATCTCAAGGGTGGAGACGCCCATGTGAAGGCAAAAAGTATATTCAACCTCAAAGTACGCAAAATGTATTCAGTTTAAGTGACTTCAAGTGGCATCAGTTCCTAGTAATACCACAAAAATATCTTGACTTTGCATCTCTTGATGACTATTTAGTGAACGGTGGCAAAACTGTGAGCATCATTGAGTCTATTTTCGATATACTCCAATTGTTAGTGTGTATCCTCTCAGCCCTATGTTTGTGCGTATTAATTATTGTTTATGCGAATACAAAAGAATTACGATGTCGTGTTTCCAGTCAGTTAGTTATGGGAATGGCAGTTTTTATGCTCGGATTATTATCAGTCTACCTGACACTGCCACTGCTGATCAGTCAAAAAGGCAATTCAGATCATGGGAACTGCCTTATAGTTGCTGTATTACTGCACTATTTTTTTCTCGGAAGTTTCTCATGGATGTCAACACTTGGCTTGAGCCTACTCAACACATTTGGAGGAATTCACATTTGTCGATTATGCTTCACCTATTTCAAACTCAAGCTAACTCAATGTGGAACAGGTCCAAATTCTGTAAGCCAGATGATATCTGACAGTAGTGTAAACGTAAGTCTATGTTCTAATTTTTTACTACAAATCTATCAAGAATGGGCTATGACTTTTAATATTTTATATTTGGCATGAAAATATACTTATTAGTTAAACGTTCCTGCAAAAACAATTGATAAATACAAACCGGAAATCAAAAATAGTTGCGACTAAATTCTGCTGAGCAAAACTTAAAATCATTGGCTAGTTATCTTGTAACTAAACAGGTAGATGATTTAGTACAATGTAACTGATTCCTACCAAGTTTGCATTTATTCTGATGCTACTGGAATCCAATCTTTCAAGGAAGAGCCATTCTGGATCTAAAACGATATCCATTTGATCAGTATGTACTTGTACACACATAGCAACCTGAATTTAATGGAAAATTAACTGAACAGACATAAAATTTCACATTTACATCACTTAGACTATTGTTTTGTAAGGAAATTTAGGTCAATAATACATGGTCAGCTTTGCTAATTGCATAATTGAGTATTCCAGACGTAAAAATCAGATTTTTTTCATTGTCCAGCTTAGTCTTACGCTTAGGTGAACAAAAATTCTTACAATAAAAGAATTTGAAATCTTATCAAAGACGTAGTAGTTTTTGAAAACGCGTTCATTCTCACTGCATCAGAGAAACGAATCCGATGTTAATTGTCTATTTTGTAGCGAATGGAAGCTAGAGAAAAAAAGCCAATAATTGTTACAAACTGCACAATAATGGATAGTAGCAACGGCATTTATGGGCGATTCATTCACATAAATTATTATCTGATTTTATTCAGAATCACCTACAATCTCTTTAAGGAGCTGATCATTAACATTTTTCACCATGACAAAATACTTACATGAATGTTTCCATTGTCTGATGTGTGTTGTATCCACACGTAAGGTTATGAGATATTATACCCCTTAGTGGTGTACTATTCGCTGTAGGATATGCATCAGTTATCGCTCAGTAGTGAGAATCCTGCTTATATCATCTTGTGAATGATGTTTTATGCAAGAGAATAAAGGGATTTAGGAGTAAACCTTGGGCACTGTAGTCGAATGTAATTCCAATTTAGTCTATTTATTAGGAATGTCACAGTGTGGATACGATAATGAATTAGTTATGAAATCCACCGGGAATTCGAAACACAGTATGAAGTCTTTTCTGGTTGAATCAAAACAGTTTAGTTTAATGCCAAAAATTAAAATATTAGTAGAATGTTTGGTACTATTAGATTCATAAGCCAGGTTACACCAATAGGCTTATAGTAGATTTTAGAAGCACTCCGACTTATGAGTCACCTAAATATTTAGCAGTGGTAATAAACCTAATCAGAAATCATTCAAAATGTCAATCTAATAACCCATGATTAAAAGCACAGATTAGATGACAGACGAGTAGACAATAGTGAAAAAAATGGTTAGTTTTGACATAATTGGCCTTTGAACGAATATACTGATCGACGAGGCTCTGGAGGCAGTTAGAAATGGTCTTAAGAATCATAATGAACTTACGGACCAAACTAAGGTCCCAATTGCAGAAATCATGCTTGGATTATGATTATAACTGATGTCTATAGCGTTTAAGATTCAAAACAAAATGTATCAACAAACTGAAGAGCTTTCCGCAGGATCACCAATAGTTCCTATCGCCACAGACAGAGTTATGGATAGTTGGGAACGTATGGCCTTGCGAATATTTATTCCGGCTCCAAAGATATGGTTCCGAGATGTAGGTGACATATTTACACTACTGAAATCGGAATACATCAATAATTTCTTCATGCATATAAATTCTGCAAGGAATACAGTCCAATTTACCTGTGACTTAGAAAGTGATGAAGGTGAGCTAGCAGTGTTGAATTGCAAGATCGAACGAAAAGAATACGGAGTTTAGAGACCACTATCTATAGTAGACCTTCCGGTTCGAACCGCCATTATGACTTCATATCATCTCACCCCGTCTCAGTTAAAGTAGACTTAGTAAGATGCTTAAGTTTTAAGGCGAAAACGTCTAGTAGTACAACAAAAACCAACGACAATAAATAAGACTTATCATGAATACCTTGTATCCCCCCACCTAAATTTATGAATGAATTCATAAGAAATAGTAAGAATATATTAGCAGTAGTAGTCACGAAGGTGGTATTATTAATAATTCTACTAATAACAGTAGTAGTGGTGATAAAGTCGAGAAAGAATTCAAAGACTCAACAGTGCTGTCATACAATTAAGGCATCTCAGAAACGCTACATAGGATTCTCAATAGGGTAGGGGTTAGAGTGACACTTAAACCATTAAACTCGCTTAAAAACAAGCTATGCGAGTTAAATGATCCTGCTGAGACAAAATAATCTGGTTTACCAAATCCTTTTCAACACTTTTGAGGTCGAATACATAGGTCACAATAGTCTCCAGGGTTGATTAGAATGATGGAGCACAAAATCATAGGCAAATCACGACTAGTAGATCCTAACAAGAAAAGAAAGTTAGAGAAAACTTCAGCCATAGCTATGGATGCAATTACACAAAATTATACAATAGGATGGGATAGAGCAACAGTAATAAAAGCTAACTTTTTGGGTAGAGGGGAAAATAATGATAAGTGAATGTTTGTTTATTGAATCAACACTAAATAAATGCAGCAGAAATGATCTTGCACCTGTCCCAAGTATATGAAAAATTCTGCTATCCTTGTCATCACAAAGAAGGAGAGGAGATTAGAATCATAAAATCTTTCTCTTAGTTGTAGAGTTACATGACATGAATAATGACAACAAATTATATCCGAAATGTTATCCAGTAAATAGTACTGTTTCACTGTGTCACATTTTCAATAAACGGACTGAAAAAGAAATGCATTTTGACAATGAAGAGGTTAATTGTTCGATATCATGAAACACAATAATACTTAGAAGCTTCGTACACATTTTAGATTTGGTTCAAAAACTAATACATAAGTGAATAAAATGTAGTCTGAACAACACTGAATCAAATCTGTTGTACTCTAATAATAAATGTTAAATATTAAAAAAACAAAAAACATTTTAGTACATTTGTTTAAATGACACCGAAAATATTATTGGTATTCATAAAATCACCAAATGAAGAATCCGTTTTTCATTTGTCCTATTTTTTATTGCTTGTATTACCAACTGACTATATATTATTCATTTATTTATTTTTATAAATCTGCTTAACATGCTTTAAAGTATGTGAAATCGGTTTGTAGTAAAATGAATTGAAATTGTGAGATATGGATTCTAATTTTTTGAAAAAAAAATATTAGTGTTTGATATTCTAAAAATTCAGTTCAATTTGCCTTGCTAAAGATTTTTACTGTGAACTGAATCTCTAAAAATCATATTTGAAATAATAAAATTACTATTAGCTATAGTTCCTATAATAAATGAATGTCTGAAGCATTTATAACCACCTTTTGCGTATATCTAATCATTTCATCGTACATCCGTCAAAAACAAGCTCTATTATTTGATACACATCATCTGTTCATAAGTTATATTTTTAAGCCATATAAAAGACCTGTGGTAATTGATGTATCAGTATCATAAAACTTCGATTGAAGTTTACCATCACATACACTCAGATATTTGTCGTTTGAAGAAATTAGCTTTACGGCTGTCAAGTAACTTATAGAGTAACTCGAATACTGGATATTGCAGAATTAGGCAGCCTGATGTTCATAGATATTTATCCTTGATTCATTTATGATTCATTTTAATGATACCCTTCAAAAGATGCTAAATTAAATTAATATACTTGAATGTACACCTTTTCCTGAATGATCATAATAATTCAAGTTGAAATTTGGTGGTGAGAAGATTATTATGAGATATCACATTTCATTTGAATAAGAACGGTTTGATAACAAATTTGTCTGGTTGTCAGATATTACAGAGTAAATATTATATATGTGATCATGAGAGTTATATTGAGCAAACTCTAGTTTCTAAGTTGCGTATATCTTCACTAGCGGAAACTGATTATTGCAAAGCTGGTGATTGCTAGGACAATAGGTTATGTAGAGGTTCAATTTGTAAACGTACCCGTTTAAACGCTTATTTTACATGCTAATTTATGAAATTTTACATTTCACAGGGTATGATGGTACGAACAAATGTTCGAAATCATTCGAAGGATATTCATAAGCGTACTGCACTTTCATCAGTATTTGCAATAACTTTACCACTGTGTTTTGTCGTACCTGCACTCATCTTGAATGAAATTTACCGCTACAATCAGTGTTGGACAGGTGATGAAAACGATCGTCCTTCTTATTTTACATCGCCAGGGAATGACAAAGAGCAACAGAACTGCACAGAAATGTCAAGGCAGATGAGATACTACAATCCAGGTTTTTGTTTTATAGAGTCTGGTATACGACCATGGTTCACAGTACATGGAGCATTCATTTTGTGGTTCTTTCTGCCAACAGCACTCATGCTGGCCTTCAATTCTGGTGTACTGCTACTTGTCAGTACATACATTTGGCTATCAAATCAGAACAAAACTCTTAAATCCCTTAGTGAGGACACGGTTACCAGCGGAGATTCGAAATCAGCTAAAAATTATGATAAATATAATCGTAATATGATTCGGATATGTATGCATTTATCTATCACTCTGGGTATCGTATGGATATTTCAGCTACTAGCAAGCCTAATTCCTCAGCCATCAATTGTGAATCGCATTGCTGGTTTAATTAGCAGTGGGCAGGGTGCGGCTCTAGGATTTGTGTCACTTATGAATACTAAAACAGGAAAGTCACTTCTTAATTGGACGAGTTTCTTTCACTCCACTCGTTCAAATGTGAGGTCTAGCGACGTGAAAAGTGTTTCATCCCCCTGCCAATCTAGCGTGAAAGCTGCAAATGAAACTGATATTCCAGTGGCGGATGTGCGTTCAGTTAACTGCTGATTACGTGTGGTGGCTTCAAAATGCTAAAAAATCCTTCTTTGAAAAAGTCGTCAGTACCATTTCTTAGAGTGTAACGTAACCTTCCCAATGCCGTATTGTTTTGTGTTACTCATCTTTATATCTCAATAAATTTCATGTCACTTACATCAATTTTTGTTTTTTTCTTGCAACTTGAAATCTATATACATGTTTTTATTAGCCATAAATTGTAAAAGTTAATCAAAAAAATCTGTTATTTTGTGTTTTGTTTTTACTCAGTGTTTTTCAGCGTTATCTTCATTGTTTCGATGATTTTAAGTATTTAACGTCTTCTTGTGACCATTTTTGTGTAAACATATACATATACATATTTTGAATGTTTATATTGGCTTAACCTACTCTCCATCGTCTAGTAGACGCTTACAAAATGAGAATTAAAAGAGATTCTCGTGAAATACCTAAGGCAGGACTATAGATAATCGTATATGACAAAACACAAGTTGCGCATAGTGTTCTGTTGAATGTCAACGAAGTAAGTAGGTGTTTCAAGGGTTGATACAAATACATCATGTGAATCAAAACTCATTGAATAAGGATAGTCAGTTGGTGATAAGTATCAAAATTTTATGTCTGTTTTTGTTAGTTTAAGTTAGTTATTTCAAGTGAATTTGTGATTGGTTGCTTAGGAAACAGAACCTGGAAGGCGACTCGAAGGTATACAAAATATATGCTTTTAATGGAAAAAAAGAAAAACTCTCAGTATTGAAACAAAGACAGGAAATAGAATGCACTAAGTATAATCATGAAAAAGAAATTTTGCAATGAAAAAGTGAACCAATCAATATCAATGAAACATGTTCTTCGAGAAATATGTTGGGTCCTGAAATTCACCGATTTTATCGAAGCATATTTATACTAACAGTCAGCTACGATACGATGACATTCTTACTTATGTTGTCTTAGCAGGAGTTAGATAAATCTGGTAGTTTCAAATACACAGAAATAGTAGTTCACCTACATGTCGTGTAAGTCAGTGCTGCTAAATGGTTCAGAAACTTGGTGTATCAAGTAAAGTACTTCCAACAAACTACAGACATACATCACACCAACAGCTACCACCTACACGCGTTGCTCAAAATCAGATGGTCAGAAAGAATAAGCAACAAGGAACTCTGGCTAGGTGGCTGGCAACGAACCAACCATGAACCTATCACTCAACAAATATGCACTGGAAGGAAGTGGAGATGGATTGGGCATACACTGAGAAGGCCGACTGGGTACATCACGCGTCAGACCAGTGCCTTGAGTTGAACCAGATGGGAAACGACGAGTTGGGCGTGGGTGTGGATGGTGATATGGGGGAGATCATGTGAGGAAGAAATGAAAGCTTGTGGGTGGTCGTGGTGTCAGGTTCAAAAGACTGTAGAGAAGAGAGTGGAATGTAGGCGTTCTACTGAATCCTTATGTTCCACTAGGAACCCAAAGGACAAATAATAAAAATAATAATAATAGATGGGATGTAGATGAAGTTAAGCAAATATGAGACAAGTGTATTATGTATTCCCATGCAAACCGTTACTTCTGGTATTTTTTAAAATATACAGTCATAATAAAATTACCAACAAAGTGTTATTTTCATTCCGAAACAAATATAGTTTATTAGTCTTTATTTATGTTAGTATTTTCAGGTAAAGTTAGATTTTGGGCAATAGAGTTATTTCTTAGAACTGACACAGTGGAAAATTCAAATACTAAGTGGTTTCATATTAGATTTGTTTATTTGACATATAGCGCACAGTGATACAGTATTATTTATTATTATCACTGTGCGCTATATATCAAATAAACAAATCTAATATGGAATTACATTCTACCACAGTGCCTAAGTTTTACACTTATATTAAATGGTTTCAGTTTCAGTTTTTTGTTGATTTATCCTAACTGCTTTCACATCATTAGATAATTAAGGCTGCATACGATATATATACTTCATACAAATAAAAAGTTAGAAAACATTGTACGCTTGAAGTTAGGACAACTCTTATATCCTATCGATACAACCGAAAGATGTTGACATTTTGTAGAAATTAAAACATGTTTGCTTATGAACAGTCTGCCGCTGTGACTGATATATGTCCTTCGACAATTATAAAGATGAGATGTTTGTTTTAGGTCTTTAGAAGATGCTATTGACTTTATTTTTCAAAGAGGATATCAGTCTGAAATGACAATGTTATTTTAAAATTCGTAGTGGCTGATATAATCCTACGTTAACTGAGTGGTTTCTAAGTTAAAAGTTTCAGAAGTTATTAAACTCAGTCGACTGGTGCAAATTTGAAGCCCTATTGTTGTTCCAGACAGGAAATGATTGTATCATCAATTTGACAAAGAATATTCTCACAAATGAAAGTGGATGTGAATTTTGTTTTGTAGTAAGATTTCAAACCGTGTGCTATAGTCTAAGTTGATTAAGTGATCCATTATAAAGACAAATATCTGAGGTGTTGAATTACTTAGGCCTATTGGTCAGTTAGTGATTAACACCTTCAATAACGGAAATTATATACACTTTAACTCTTATCATCCATTATACGAAAATTCGTGCAAAAAGTGTGGTTTTCGCTTTAGCTTTCTGTCTAGTTTAGAAGAATTTTATTTTATTTACTGTGTCTTACTGGTCTCCAGTGCTGAAAAGTTTGTTCATGATAAAGAAATTTCCGTTATGATGAGCACCTTGTGTTACTAACCAAACTTTCTTTTATATGAATTAGGTTTTATAGAACAAGCCAGAAAACTGTTCACTTATGTTACTATCAGAAGGTTCTTGTCGTTTTTAGTAGTTTCAGTTCATTTATAAAATTTCACTGCAAGCCACGTTTCATTTCACGTCAAATCATCGTTTTGTTTCGTAAATTTGTTTTCCTGAATCTAAATTGGGTTTGACTCAAGTAATAATTTCTCCTTTCTTTCCTGAGTGACAACTGCTTACTGACTATTTTACCTTTGTACAAAATTTCATTCTGGGCTTTATCCCGGCCATATTCGTTTGCGATTATATCACTTCGGAAAATAAAAATTCACTATAAAGAAACCTTCCCATAGAATTATTTGTGTTTCACCGTATGACATTTCTAATAAACGAATTAAAATCATAGAGTACTGCTTGCTGCACTATATATTTCAAAAGTGCAGAACAAATACCACTGTCTTTGGACATATCAAGATGACTAATTCTATAACCTTGATATGACTAAGGACAAAAACCATATACGAAACATAATCCAGTAAACAATACTGTCCCACTATGTGATATACCTGATAAATAAACTGGAATGGAATTATTTTCTATCACAATGAACAAGGTTTACTCTTATATTACACAGTCATCCTTTTTATCGAGCAAAGATATGCAAGTCCTACAGTCAGGGTAGGCCTTAATTAGTCGCGTTTCAAGAATAACATGTTTAATTAAGCCCAATGACGTAACTAATTCTTTGAGACGATCATTACAAAACAAACTAATACCTATAAAAATCTTTCATTCACATCCAGAAACTCTTCTGACCTTTTTTTCAATTGATATGAAAAGTTATAGTTTGCCTTCCTAATAACTTTAGCTCCAATTTATTTTCAGAAAAGAGTAGCTATAAGGAGATCTGTTAGTTCAGTAATTTTGACAATATTTCGGCCATTTAACATAGGATGCTATGCAGAAGATGATCAATTTTTTAACTTCTCTTTACTGTCATCTTGTTATCTTTTGCCATGTTATTGTTTGATGCCCAATTAAGATAATTATATATTGTTAGTTCTGAAAATGCCAATGATAACAAACACGATAACAGTAGACAACTGAATATCTATTCAAAAGTATGAAATACTATATGAATATTTTGAACTAATTGTTAACTGCCTAACTTTTCATTAATAACTTACAATGAGGCTTAGATTCATTCGCTTGCTAAGTAAACACATAAAATATCCAGATTCTTTATTACAAGATAGTTTAACATCAGACGTCAGTGTTGTCACTAGCTCACTACTAAAGTAGTGTGTCTTCATCGATCATAGAACTCGTCGACGTACAAATTTGATCGCTGGAAATTCATGTTCTAACCCAAAATTGTAACCTTTAGTTTTTACTGATAAAATGTATTTCAACAACCATTGAGCACAAGTAGTTTTGCAGCTACCGTAGTGCTATTAATTTCTACAGGAGGCAGATAAGTGCTACTGTTGTTTGTTATTTGTAATCTCATATTGTTATACTTAATCTCGCTTAGTCAACTAGTTCATTAGTTACTAGCCGGTACTAAGCCCAGAAAAGAGGGAAAGTTTGGGCCTACGGTTAGCAACCCTACCCGATAGAAATAATCTAACCGATGTAGAAATTCGAAGCACAAACGAAATATATAAAAAAACAAAAACAAAATTATTCCTCGCTGGAATCGGACGTCAGTTGATGGAAGCATTTGGGAAGCCAATTGCTCGGTGTCTTATCTTCTCCTGATGAAAGCGAAAGTGAACATGAGAAGATAGAACATCCACACCATGTTTGAACCTACCAAGGCTGCCCAGATTGTAAAAGAGATGAAGAGGTACCGTATTGAAGTGTTAGGAATTTGCGAAAGCAGATGGAATGGAATGGAATGGAATGGAAGTGGACTGTCCAAACTGTCAACTGAAGAGCCAATAATCTACTCCCTGTATATTGTCACCCAGACGACAACCACCAGCACACTGAGTTTTCAAGTGGATATCATGATGTCGCCAACAGTATCAAAGTCTCATTCTCATGCAGTGGGAACCAATCTCCTCCTGCAGGATCAGGATAATGGCAGCAAGATTTAACTCAAAAGAAAGGAAAGGCATAATCATGCAATGCTACGCTATGCACCTACAAATAATGCAAATCAAGAGAAGGAGGAGGAATTCCACAGACAACTGCAATCACTACTGGACAAGACCTCAATTGGCGACATCAAAATTCTAATGGGTGGGGTGACATGAATACCAAACTCGGAGCGGACAACACAGGAAGAGCACTCATCATGGGTTGAGAAGCCACTCGGTGAAATGAACGAGAATTGTTTGCGGAATTCTGAGCATTCAGTGATTTGGTGATTGCAGCCCAGGCAGTGTGTTCAAGCACAAGGATGTCCACAAAGCGAGTGACATGGATTTCACCAGACAACAGGACACACTACACTAAAAATCAGATCGACATCATCTGAATCTCGAGAAAGTGGAGACGCAGCTTACTGGACACTAGATCAGATCGAGAAGGGGAGCAGATGTAGGTTTACACCACTGACTATCTAGTGCAA